CTCCAGGGTCTTCAGAAACCCTTCTGCTTTCTGTTGTGGCAAAGAAGGCTGTTCCAAACCTGCTCAGGCAGGATTTGTGTCGATTAAGTCATTTGGGAAGACCAAATCATAGTTTTTCTCTCTTATTTTTTTTATTTCATGATTAAAGGAAGATTGTTTATCCTCGTACCACGTGCTTAAGAATCAAAGGGATTTAACTGACTCGCTTGGTCTGGTCTGTTCCATGAGATCCAGTTTTATCCTGATGATCTGCTTGGGATTTTTCAGTCCTTTTTGTAGTTACACACTCCACCTGCAGACACCTCTATTATATTTGAGGCTGCCTGCACTATTAAATGTGCAGATCAATTAGTTAATTACTTATTAGTTGTGATTCTTAAATACCTGGTGGTGTTATGTGAATCCATGACTCTTTTCCCATCTGCTTTTTTTTTCTGGATGCCTTTCAGGCTTCTCAGATGAGAGGAGGTGGAATCAGTGAGCTCTTGTAATCCATGTTAGGTGAGGGCAGAGACTAAATAATATGGAAGTGTCAGTAGAGCAAAAAGCAAAGGACTTCAGCACATATTTGCAGTAGGAATGTACACAGTGGGAATGTGGACTTAACCTTGCCTTGAACTGCAGGGTGGCACCTGGGCCCTCTCTCTCCTGTATCCACTGTACACTGAAGAAGAAATGAGACAGGGAATCTACTGTGGTTGTATCTTTTTTTTACTCCAAGTGTAAAAAATTCCTCTCCAAAAATAGGTTTGGTGATGTTTAGTTGCTGTCTGTGTTACAGAAGTGGTTTGCCCAGTGTCTTTCTCAACAGGGAGTTTGGCAGCTGTATTAATAATTTTTCAAAGCTGATATAAGTTTGTTAAATCTGACCTAATCCTGATGAGCTTTAGATACAATTTATGGTGCTGTGATCACCTATTCCTTTGTTTTAGTAATCACAGTATGTGACACTTGAGAGATGCAGTGAGAGCCACTGAGTTTAAATTCACAGAATTGCAGAATCAGTAAGGTTGGAAAAGACCTTTAAGATCATCAAGTCCAACCATCAACCAGCACCATGATGTTCACCACTAAACCACGTCCTCAAGTGCCTGTTCCTTGGGTGCTGCACAAGAATTTCTTTGCCTGGGTCTGTGTCTAAAGTTGGTTAAAATAAAGTTATACAGGTTTGGTTCTCACTTCCCAGGAAAGCACATATCCAGCTCAAATAACACCTCTGTGGCCTGACTCCCTGCCACTGAGCGTTGTACTCTGAGGGAGAGCTGAAATTAGGGAGGCATTCCTGCAAGGAAGCTGGAGAGGGACTTTTGACAAGGGCATGGAGTGATGGGACAAGGGGTAATGGCTTTAAAGCAAAGGAGGGCAGGGTTAGATTAGATTTAGGAAGAAATTCTTGGCTGTGAGGATGGGGAGACCCTGACACAGGTTGCCCAGAGAAACTGTGGCTGCCCCTGGATCCCTGGAAGTGTCCAAGGCCAGGTTGGAGCAACCTGGGCTAGTGGAAGGTGTCCCTGCCCATGGCAGGGGGTGGAGCTGGATAATCATTAAGATCCCTCCCAACCCAAACCATTCTAAGATTCTAGGATACTTGAAAACATTTTCCAGTCCACGCAGTCAAAAGCAAAGATGGGAAGTGCACTTCCAATGCACTTGACAATTCTAAGCACCCCCCAGAATGGATTGTCATACTGTACTGATTTCAAACATTTACACTTGGTATTCATTTCCCTTTCAGGCTGAAGCTGACCTGGCAAGACACTTCCCAGGGAAGTGCACACCCAGCTCCAACAACCCCCCCGTGTCCCGACTCCCTGCCAACCCATCCCGGGTGGATCGTTTGATCGTCGACCAGTCGCGGGAACAAGCCAGGGTGGGCCTTGCAGTTCCTGCACTTCTTTGGGAGGGGGTTTATATTTGTTGTAAGGGAGGCTTTTTTTTTTTTTTTTTTATAAATACTTAACGATTTTTGGTGTTTCCTGGCAGGTGGTGGCGTTGATAGGAACGATGGAGAGGCTTCGTGGTGCCCCCCTGCACAGGAACATATCCACGGCCTTGGAGCACCACATGGAAGCCATCCATGGGACACGGGCCCGTCGGAAGGATGAGATTGTTAATGCTGCTAATCCCCAGAGACACGGAGTGCCACGCTCTAGCCATGAGAAAGGTACCTACTCCTCACCCTTGGAGTCCAAAAAAAAAACTTTGACAGAGATTTAATCGTGAATATACTCAATTTTAAAACACGTCACTTTGGAATATGCAGCAATTCTCGCCACTCCAGCAAAAGAAAATTTGTAAATACACACTTGTTACTTTTTAAGTTACTTTGAGATCTGTTGTGTTTTTTTTTTTTTTATTTTTCTGTTATTGGTTTAAACACTTCGAAACGTTTTCCTCTTGACTAAGAGAACTGTAAAAACTATTCAGTGATATTATATATAACCATCAGTCACTGTCCTGAAAGTAAAAATATACTTGTTTTTAAGCAAGTAGAATTAATTAAAAACATAAATTTGCTGGGGTTGTGTTAATTAATTATGTCTGCCTACCTTATCTAAAATCACAGATACACCAGGAATTACATTCCAAATTCTGTTGAAGTAAAACCAGAGGAACCTGTAGCAGCAGTAGAGGTGATATATGTAGGAATTTAGGGTTTGGGGGGTAAAGATAATTTTCTTTTTCTTCAGAAAATTATTTCCAGAGAGGGGTTGCACTTCCTGCTGCTGCAGTGGAGAGGACAGAGAGATTCCTTTTGGCTTCCAGCGAAGGATAGTTCTTCCTTGTTAGAAGGGAAAGATAAACTGCAAAGAGAGTCAAAATGTTTTTCTTTTGCAATTCAGGTGTCAAGCATGATGTCAAATCATTTAAATGATAGTCCTATGTGCAAACTGAGTCCTGAAATAACTCCTAAAATTGTGTCATGTGACATTAACCCCCAGCATAAGTCAGGAGTAGTGGAAGGAAGGTTCTTGGCAAGGCATGAGAAGTAGGACACATGGCTACATGGATGATTATGGTTAGATTTATTGCCAATACAGTCTCTAAATTAAACAGCTCTATCATCTGTTACAGTGGATTGTTGTATCATCAGGTCCTGGTCCCTCTTGTTGAGTCACAAATTTTGAGACCCCCTCACTTCCTAAACTTCCCAGAGAAGTCCAAGTGCAGCTCGATCCACTTAGTCCCAGATCTGGTCAACAATCAGTGTCTAAAGAGTTAAAATATCAGCAGTTTTGGGTAGAAACATGCAGGTTTCATGCCTGACCTTGCAGATCTCCCAGTTACAAAGCAACAAATCACCTGTGGAGCTACTCTAGGATTTTATCTCCACATTTGACCGGATCTCAGCGCTTTTATTGACCCGTCCCAAAGTGAGTGTTCCCTGTCTTTGGGACGGTCCTTCCCTGCTGGGAGAGGGATCCACCCAGAAACTGCCTGAAAACAACCAGCTGGCTCAGTCTCCACTAGCACTTTTTGCACAGACACAATGAGTGTGAGGTGTTGTGGTTGTCCTTTGACAGAGAAGAACCGCAACCGATGGGGTTCAACCAGCACAGCTGTTTCTTGACCGCGCTTTACTTGAGGAGATGAGCCCAACCATTTTTTTTTTGTTGTTGTTTTTAACATTTCCAGGCTTGCACGCTGATTTAAAATGGTTTTTGTGTTGCAGATGTCCTGGCTCTGGCAGCTGCCATCAGGGCTCTGGCTGGTGCCACGCGCCGGGCTCGCACCGCGCTCTGGTGCGCGGCACAGATGACTTTACCGACAAAAACCCCTCCTGCTGGACCAGAGAAACAAGGAGCTGTTCAAAGGGCATTGCAGGAGCTTTCTCCTCTGAGCACAAGCACACAAGAACAAAGCAGTGTGGAGCAAGGAAAGCCTGAGGAACCTGCGAGGATTGTGGAATAACGGGGAATAAGAGCGGCGACAAAAGGGGGGAGAGGCTGAGGAGGGGGAGGGAAGGACTCAGGGTCCTGCACAGCACCTTGGGGAGGGGGTTTTGATGGGATGTGAGAAAGCAAAAGGGTTGATTCATGTGCCTGGTCAGTGCTGCAGTTCTGTTACTGTGATTCTGGTGTTGGGAGACACTTCTTGTGGCAGTGTTAATGCAGTTTTAATGTCGCTGGTATTGCGGGAAGGATTTCGATGATGAGAGGAACTAAACAATAGCTGAGCATTCCCTTGTGTGCTTTTCCAAAGCTCTGTGAGTCTCAGTCACCTGAGAAACCAGAGAGTGTGGTGGAACTTAATTCTCCATTTTTTTTTKKTWA